CATGTGCTCTCTCCAAACACGACCCTGCCTCTTTGACCTGCTGCCAGTAAAAACTCAACTCTTCCTCAAACACAAGTCCAAAATTCACTTCTGCTTTCACTTCACGCAGAAACATGAACCGACTCTAAGCCATTGCAAGAAGTTTACGCAATTCAAGCAACAATTATATGTGACAGATTTGTGATAAAAGACTATTCAAAATGGACTCTTTTGAGCTTTAAGTCATGTTATAATGTGGTTTACCTCATCACCAGTGTTGGGGAGTAACAGATTACTTGTACCAGAGTTACGTAATCAGAGTACAAATTATGAGTAACTGTATTCAGTACAGTTACTGTTTCCATGATTTTGGATTACAGTTACTTTGTTGGATTGGATTCCTATTTTACATTTTGGGCTAAACCAGGACTAAACCAGGACTAAACCAGGTAAACCCAGGTCTAAACCAGGACTAAACCCAGGTCTAAACCAGGACTAAACCCAGGTCTAAACCAGGACTAAACCCAGGTCTAAACCAGGTCTAAACCAGGACCAGGTCTAAACCAGGTCTAAAACCAGGACTAAACCAGGTCTAAACCAGGACTAAACCTAAACCAGGTCTAAACCAGGTAAACCAGGTCTAAACCAGGACTAAACCAGGTAAACCAGGACTAAACCAGGACTAAACCAGGACTAAACCAGGACTAAACCCAGGACTAAACCAGAACTAAACCCAGGTCTAAACCAGACTAAACCAGGTCTAAACCAGGTCTAAACCAGGACTAAACCAGGTCTAACCAGGTCTAAACCAGGACTAAACCAGGTCTAAACCAGGACTAAACCAGGTCTAAACCAGACTAAACCAGACTAACCCAGGTCTAAACCAGGTCTAAACCAGGTCTAAACCAGGTCTAAACCAGGACTAAACCCAGGTCTAAACCAGGTCTAAACCAGGTCTAAACCAGGTCTAAAACCAGGACTAAACCAGGACTAAACCCAGGTCTAAACCAGGACTAAACCCAGGTCTAAACCAGGTCTAAACCAGGTCTAAACCAGGACTAAACCAGGTCTAAACCAGGACTAAACCAGGACTAAACCAGGACTAAACCAGGTCTAAACCAGGACTAAACCAGGACTAAACCAGGTTTAAACCAGGACTAAACCAGGTCTAAACCAGGACTAAACCAGGACTAAACCAGGTCTAAACCAGGTCTAAACCAGGACTAAACCAGGATTTAACAGGACTAAATCCTGCTGTGTGGACGTGTCTCCTCTTCTTCTATCAATAATATTTTTAATATGGTTCAGTAAAGACTGGGCTTTTTATTTTCTTTTAGCAGATAAAACTTCTTATGTGAAGATATCCTCGTCTTTGCTTCTCTACAGCAAATCAAGTAATCCAAAGTATTCAGATTACATTACTCACTTTAAGTAATTTAATGGATTACGTTACAAACTACATTTTGGGGGATGTAATCTGTAATCTGTAGGGGATTACATTTTAAAAGTAACCTTTCCAACACTGATCATCACGCATGTTTTTTATTCACACGTTTGAGTAATCCATTTTATTCTTTAGTCTGCGTACATCTCCAAAGCTCAAAATGTTCAGTTCCACCTTGTGATGTCATGTCTTTGCACTATCTAACACTATTTCTATTCTTCTGGATGTAACAATAACCAAAATATCGTGATATCGTATCGTCAAAAGTCTCACAATAATATCACGGACTCTCACAATATATCGAATCACAAGTTTCTTTGCTTAAATTCATGGTTTTACAGCAGCAACAGCTTATGAACATCGGAAACTACATATCCCATGATTCATTTCAGCGCAGAAAACCTGAAGAAATATGTTTTTTACTTGAATTCTTGGGATTATGATGGAAATAATTCACACCAAAATCTTGTCAGGGTATTTTAAAAGCAAAAAAGTGTCACATCTACAATTATATGAGCCTCTTCAAAATATCGCAATAAATATCGAACCATGAGAAGCATATCGTGAAAATATCGTACAGAGAAATTTGGATATTGTTACATTTCTTCTATTTTTCGATCTTTGTTATAATGTTGTTTCCTCGTCAAAAAACAGACCTGGAGATGTGTTTTGTTTCATTCACACGTGTTTAACTCTGCATATTTACAGTGAGTTCTTCTCTCAAACTGAAAACACTCTGTTCCACCTTGTGATGTCATGTGGAAATACAGGAAGTGCTCCACTGTGTTTTTTAAACTCCACACACCTTCACTAGAATCATTTGGATCATTTCAGTCTTGGAATTCTCGATCTCTACTGAACACAAATTCAAATGGAACAACTCCAGGTCTGTTTTTGATAAGAAAACAACATTATAACATGACTTAAAGCTCACAAGAGTCAATTATTTCGTGTAATATGGGACCTTCAAACTGTGATACACGTAGGATTCAGTCGTGTTCCTGCTGTAGATCAAAGTACAGTTCATTGACCATCAGCGTGATCCAGCAGAGCGACACTTTGTTGTGATGATGTTTACAGTGAGGTAACCCTACTGTTAAGAGCCAAATCAATGACTTTTTTCTTTTATCCTTTGTCTTTTTAGATCAATAATACAATGCTTCATAGACTATAACTGAGAACTAAAACAGGACTTCACCTACAAGCTCATCAAGAAGGGTAGGCTATAGTAACAGGGACAACATTTTAAAACTTTTCTATGACTTTTTCATGACCTAAAAGCAGGGGTGTCCAAACTTTTTTCATCAAGGGCCACATATGTAAACACAGACGAAGCAGAGGCTGATCAAGGGCCGTAGACTGGTGCTCAGTACAGTGAATAATTGAAATATGTGCATGTCTAACACGTTAGAATGAGCCGTCGGTCTTTATTCATGCTAAGATCCTTAAAATCACACACTAAACTTGCAATAAAAAGTTCATTTTTAATTGATGCAAGGTAATTTGGGCCAATTCACCTGGAAGCCTGAGGGCCAAGAAAATTTTGTCTGAGGGCCGCTTTTGGTCCACGGGCCATAGTTTGGACATGTTTGACCTAAAGTGAATTTTCCATGACTTTATGACACCTACATGTGTAGAATTGATCAGACTTTTAGGGCTAAATATGAAACATTAACCCTTTCCACTCACCTTATGGTTTGGTATTATAGTTTTTTAACATTCAAAATACTGTCAGTGCATTTATTGTCGTCTCTTTTATATAAATAATAATAAATATATAATAATAAATAAAATAAATAATCATTATAGCCTAATGATAACTTAACAGGACATTGTAGTTGTGTGAAAAAGATACTAAAATTCTGTGACTTTTCCAGGCCTGTAAAAAGACATTTTCAATTTCTATGACTTTTCTAGGATTTTCACGACTCTAGTAAGTAGTGTTGTTGCAATACTACATTCTAAAGCTCTATTTCAATACCACGATGATAATAAAAACACTTTTTAGACAACAGAATGTGATTTTCAGCATTAAATGGTAGAACTTTCTTTTCTATTCCCATGTGCCCTTGGATCCATCTAATCCCTCAGTGGTCCTGGTAGGTTCCAAAGTGGTCCATGGAGACCATGGAGATCATTCTAAAACTATTCAGGAAAAGGTTCGTTCATGTTTTGTGAATGTGACTTTTTTAGTATCAATCAGAGGTGGGGACTTGCAAGTTGTAACTTGGACTCGAGTGAGACTTGAGTCACTGTTTATAGGACTTGAGAGTTGACTTGATAAAATGGACTAAGACTTGTGACTCGACTTGGACTTGAGGCCTGTGACTTGAGAAGACTTGAGAAGCACGTTTAAATCTGAATTCTTTGTATTCTGACCAGAATGATTCACACTAAGATCTTGTCGAGACATTTAAAAGGAAACATTTGCATTTTCTACAACTCTTATATACTCTATAAATACTCATATATAAATATACTATGACTTTTTTAAAGTACAATTTATCTTAAAACTTATATAAATGGCAAAAATCAAAGCTATATTTGGTATTTTGGTTTAAAGACTTGAAATGACTTGAAGCTCAAAGCAGACGACTTGGACTTGACTTGGACTTATGGGCCAGTGACTTGAGACTCGACTTTCCTGTATTTGACTTGGGACTTGACTCGGACTTGAGGTCAAAGACTTGAGACTTAACTTGAGACTTGCAAAACGACGACTTGGCCCTGCCACTGGTATCGATACCAGTTTCGATACTAGTTTTAATTTTGATTAGAATTAGATTTTCGATACTTGATACTTGTACAGAGCTATCTCTTTATATTGGTCGACTTATGTCCAATTTATTTTTATTATGTCTTACTAAAGGTCAAATGAACTGAATTCGTCTGTGCAAGAAAAATGCGCAATGAACTAGACTCGAGGAAACGAAAATCACAACGATGCACTTATCTCGCATCAAAAAAAAAAAAAGTCCTTTCTGCTCGCTACGCCCCCTGTAGGTGATGCCCGGACGCTACACTGAACCCCAAACTCCGTCGAGTCCATTTTAGCTGCTCCTGCTGCTGCTCCGGCCTCGCCTCTCTCCCTTTAAACCGCTCTGGGCCCCCCTCTCTCCCCTTTTCCTCTGCGCTTTTTTCCCCGACAACATCTGACAACATCCGAAATCTAAGCCCTGGCGTTTCCCCACAAACATGCGCAAATCATTCCCATCTGAGAAAACCCGGACTGCTTAACAAGTAGCACAGTTAACCCAAAATGTGCAGGAGCGATACGTAGGCAAGCGATACAACGTGCCAAAAGCCAAACGCACAGCTCCACGTTAACCCCAAATCAACTAGTAGTCCTTTACGCAAAACGAATCTGAGTAAAGACTAGAAATGCAAACGCGTAAAATTGCGTAAAGTCCGTGTCTAGAGGTAAAGGGCATGTTGGGACCACGGTGATGCTGCTGGAAGTGTCCCCTCGGTGCCCCTCGCATCCTCCGTACGTACAGAGAGCTCCAGGAGGACGCACTCGCGCACACGTCTCCATCCGGGCGGACCGCGCAGAGGGTCGGCCCCGGGCGGCACTCACCAGTCGGTGTCGGAGCCCTCGTCGATCACGTCCTGGTACGCGGTGAGCAGCGCCAGGCGGTTCTTGCTCAGGTTGACGGCCATAGCTCCAGCGAGAATCCGGCGGTAGGTATCCGAGCGGAGTGCGACCCAGGCTGGCACCGGGACTTACGGACGGGGAGGGAGGCAGGTCCAGGAGCGGAGGGAGGGAGGAGGGAGGAGAGAGGAGGGAGGGAGGAGGGGGCAGAGGAGACAAAGAGACGGGGCACGCGCGCAGGGTCCTAGCGCCCAGGTGCACAGATATTATTTAATGCACAGGTCTCCAACCCTTTTTCCTCCGGTGAGCTCGTTTACAAAATGAAAATGTCACAGAGCTGCTCATTTTAATCCGGATTTCATTCGTTCATTCGTTTTTCAAAATAAAACTAAAAATAAGAAAATGAAAAAAGAACTGTTCTCTTCATTTTTTGTCTCCAAAACCAAAACGAAAAAACAGATAACGATTCCTTTTTCAGTTTTCGATTTTGTGTTTAAATGAATAATGGAAAGAATGGATAACAACCGTTTCCCTTTTCCGTGACTTAAACTGTGATGCCGAACTTTTGCACCGCCTACGGACTGAACCAGGACTAAACCAGGACTAAACCAAGACTGAACCGTTTTCAGTCCTAGTCCAATGAGATTCATTTGGTCTTCCGATATTTTATGTTATTAGGTTCTTTTTTAGACCTAGAGTTTTGTTTCACACTTGACAGTTTTGACTGCTCACGTTTTCAGTCCTGTTCTGGTCCCAATCTGGTTCCGGTCTCATTCCCAGTCTCAGTCCCGGTCTGGTCCCGGTTTCAGTCCTGGTCTCAGTCCTCGTCCTGTTCCCGGTCTCATTCCTGGTCACAATTCCCAGTCTGGTCCTGGTCTGGTCCCTTTCTCAGTCCTGGTCTCAGTTCTGGTCTGGTTCTGATCTCAGGCCCGGGCTCAGTCCTGGTCTCAGTTCTGGTCTGGTTCTGATCTCAGGCCCGGGCTCAGTCCTGGTCTCAATCGTGGTCCTCTTCCTGGTCTCAGTCCTGGTCTCAGTCCCGGTCTGGTCCCGGTTTCAGTCCTGGTCTGGTCCCAGTCTGGTTCCGGTCTCAGTCCTGGTCTCAATCGTGGTCCTCTTCCTGGTCTCAGTCCTGGTCTCAGTCCCGGTCTGGTCCCGGTTTCAGTCCTGGTCTGGTCCCAGTCTGGTTCCGGTCTCAGGCCCGGTCTCAGTCCTGGTCCCGTTCCCGGTCTCATTCCTGGTCGCAATCACGGCCTGGTCCTGGTCTGGTCCCAGTCTCAGTCCTGGTCTCAGTTCTGGTCTGGTCTGGGTCTCAGGCCCGGGCTCAGTCCTGGTCTCAGTCCTGGTCCTGTTTCTGGTCTCAGTCCCAATCTGGTCCCAATCTCAATCACGGCCTGGTCCTCGTCTCAGCCCTGGTCCTGGTCCCAGGCTCAGTCTTGCTCTGGTCCTGGTCTAAGTCCTGGTCTCAGTCACGGTCTGGTTCTGGTCTGGTCAGTCCTGGTTCAGTCCGTAGGCGGTGCAAAAGTTCGGCATCTCAGTTTAAGTCACAGAAACTGGAAACATCCGTTATCCGTTTTTTCCATTATTTATTTAAAAACAAAATCGAAAACTGAAACAACAAATCACTATCCATTTTTTCATTTTGGTTTTGGAGACAAATAATGAAGAAAACTGTTATTTTTTCGTTTTCTTATTTTGGTTTTATTTTGAAAAAAAAAACCCACAAATGAGCGAATGATACACGGATTCGTGTTAGTAATTATAAATGCCTCGGCACCAGTTAAAGGCCTAAAAAAACAAAAACCATTATCCATTTATTAGTGCAGAAAGTAAAGTTAGGCATGAAAACTGTACATTTACATTTTTTTCTGTTCATCAAATTTTTGTTATTTAGCACAAAACTAATAATTCAGAACATTTTTTGGCAAGTAACTTGGAGAGGGCTGGAGAGCTACAGGTTGGAGATCCTTGATATATTACACAAAATTAACTCTTGTGAGATTTAATCCATGTTTTAACGGTATTATCTCCTCAAAAACAAACCCGGTGTTGTGTTTTGTCACACATGTTTGAGTGACCCTTTATTATTAGTCTGTCTACATCTCCAAAGCTCAAAATGTTCTGTTTATGTGACCAGATTATCAAAATCAAAACTGGGACACCTCTAGTTTGGAGTGGTTGATAATAATAAAACTGTGAATCGAGTGCGTAATTAAGGAAAACTGTTCTGCACTCGGCTCATTCATGATGAACATGAGTCAGTATAGTCACATTTTCTTTGTGTTTTGGTCATTTTTAAGCAGCTTTTCTGTATTTTACCTAAACAAATGACAGTTATGCCTCTTTTTACTGTTGGCAGGTGTCAAATTGGTCAAAAATAGGGACACCTGGGACATTTCTTGTATAAAATTGGAACAAAACAATATTTTGGATAAATCCGCAGGGGCAGGGGACACAGGACTCAAAACTGGGACTGTCCCTGGTAAAAAGGGACATCTGTCCCACCTTGTGATGTCACAAAGCTGTAGTTTTCAAGTTAACAGCTCCTTTTATCTTTAGTTCAGGGCTGAAACTATTCAGATTTTTCTAATGAAGGTTCTTAGGGTTTAAAAAGACAGTGGAGCATGTCCTGTAGTACTACATGACATCACAAGGTGGAACAGAGTGTTTTCTTTTTGAGAGAACAATTCAGCCTAAATATGTAGGTTTGTGAGTTAAACATTTGTGAATGAAACAAAATACAATGATGAGGAAACAACGTACAACAAACACATCATAACAGGTCAGAAAATAAAGTAATATGAGCCTTTTAAGTGAGAATCAATCAGTACGGTGAAAAGCAAACAAATATTAGCATATATCATTATAGTTTCAAAACTGAATAAACTGTATTTTGCATGAATAGGACAGCGATGACACTGTCAGAATTTCTCATTGTGAATCTTGACTGCACATTTATCCAGACATTCAACAGGTTTCAAGACTGTTTTAGACTTTAATTCATGGCTACACCTCCTTTTTAATGCCTGATCTTGTCTAGTTCCTCAGCAGAGTCCTGGTCCTGGTCAGTACTTGGATGGGAGGACCAGGTGCCGCCGTCTCTCAAGGTCAGGGGAGTCAAACTCAAATTCACAGAGGCCAAAATTAAAAACTGACAGTAAGTTTTGGGTCAAACTAACTATTTATTGAAAATTTTCAACAACATCTACATGTTTTCTCTTCTTTTGAGATATGTAATGTTAAACCTTTTCTTATTCAAATAAATGTTTAATAATAGTTTTGCTTAAACATTGAATCCAGAACAAGTATAATATAAAATAATAACAACATTTTAAATAAATAATATCTCTATAGTCTATCTGTAGCCGGCAGGCAGATCTAATACATATTTGATATGCTCTCGCAGGCCAAATATTATTATGTCGCGGGCCGAATTTGGCCCCCAGGCCTGAGTTTGACAGGCAGCAGCAGTTTTTAAATATCTGTTCTCAGTTTGACTTTGAATATGACATCAAGTACAATGCTCGGAAAAGTCACGTAATGATTGTTAAAACAAAAGAGGACAAAAAGCTATCCTCCCCTGTTTTCTGTGTGTGCGGGAGTGCCCTCCAACTCACAGATGAGGTCAAATCTTGGGCATTATGTCACCAGTGACCTCTCAGATGATAGACACATGTACAGGCAGCAGTGTAAGCTTTATGACCAGGCCAGTATGCTTGTCTGTAAGTTCTCCATGTGCTCCAGTGATGTCAAAACTGCACTTTTTAAATGTTTTTGCTCATCCTTGTATACTGCGCATCATTGGCGCAACTATAAGAAAAAGAGTTTGCAGAGTTCGACAGTGGCATATAACGACTCTGAGAATATTACTGAAAGTGCCAAGGTTCTGTAGCGCCAGTGAAATGTTTGTAAATTTTGATGTGAGACCCTGTGCTGTCATAATCAGATGTTGTATTTGTTCATTTATGTGTAGAGCCATGAATCTGAGCGATCGAATCCTTGAAGCTCTAGTGTGACCTGTGAGGAGCTCTGTCAGATTCACCTCTAAACTGTGGAGACACTGGCGCTCTTGTCTGTAAACATTATAACATGCACTGTATTTATCTTTTTATTCTTACTATTGTCTTTTTAATACTATGAACCAGATATCATGTGTAATAAAGACTGAATTGATTTGAATTTGACATGTCTGCTCTAGTGCATAATGCCATTGTCATTGTGTCCTCAGACAAGACACTTCTCAAAACATGACACTGCAAAAAAGCTTGGCCAAAATTTAAGATAGAAACACTTAAATCAATCAGAAAATGACTTAAAAGTAGTGAAATGATCTGTCCATGCAGCAAGATCATTTTATGTGAGAAGTTATCTTAAAATAAATTGCCTCTAGATGAGAATTAAGCAATATTTGTTAAGTGTTCATGGGCTGGAAATACGTTTACGGACGCTAAGTTTTAGATAAACATACTTAAGGATCAAGCAAATCTGTATCACTGAATCTAAAAACAGGTGAAGTGTTGCAGGGGAATCTGTGGTAAATGGATTATAACTTCTTTTAAACATTTATTGCTTAAATTTTCTGATTAGTTGAGACATGAAAGAAATCTTCAGTGTTGGGGAGTAACAGATTACATCTACCGGAGTTACGTAATCAAAGTACAAATTATGAGTAACTGTATTCAGTTACAGTTACTGTTTCAGTGAGTGGTAATTGGATTACAGTTACTTTGTTGGAATAAATGGATTACATGGTAGTAATTTCCTGTTTTCACATTTTGGACTAAACCAAGACTAAAACCAGGTCTAAACCAGTACTAAACCAGGTCTAAACCAGGTCTAAACCTGGTCTAAACCAGGTCTAATCCAGGCCTAAAACAGGTCTAAAACAGGACTAAACCAGGACTAAAACAGGATTTAACAGGACTAAATCATGCTGTGCAGACCGTGTCTCCTCCTCTTTTATCAATAATATTGTTAATACGGTTCAGTAAAGTCTGGTCTTTTTATTTTCTTTTAGCAGACAAAACTTCATATGTTACGATATCCTGGTCTTTGTTCTTCTACAGAAAATCAAGTAATCCAAAGTATTCAGATTACATTACTCACTTTAAGTAATTTAACGGATTCCATTACAAACTACATTTTGGGGTATGTAATCTGTAAT